AAGCATAGCATAAAGGACTGCAGGAAAGAGAAGCTAAATTCCAATATTACATACTTAAGCACTTGTAAGCATATCTCTCTGATTCAGTAACTCAGACCAAAAAAACCAACAAATAAACCAGTAACAAACTATTTAAACAAAATATTTCTTCCTATAACAAGAAACAAGAAGAATGGGACATCTCGCTCTTTCCATAATAATACATACATATGTATATACATATACAAATACAAATAATAGAGGTAATTATTTTCAGTAATTTGTACTAACTCTCTGGCCCCAACCTGTTGGTTTGTTAAAATACTGCATATTTGTTTTGTTGTATGTTTTCTGATTTAAAAATATATATTTAAGTACACACACTCTAATAGTGTAGTTTCCAAGGCTAGCTGGTTTACAATACAGCCTACTTCAATGCTCTAGAAAATAAATTATTTACCGGAGTGTGCGAAGGTACAGCTTTTTGTCTGGTAACACCCATTCAACACTTTTCTTCTTGTCTGTGGCTAGCAGTATGGGCCGTGCATTCACGTGGATTTTAATAAGCCTGCCTAAAGTCTACATGCTTTTTTTGACATACGCACTGCGAACTGCAGCATCCATCAGCATCTGGGTCAACTGGCAAGTAATCTGTGAGCTCAAGAGGGACCGTGCACAGGAGCAAGAGCAGGGAGCGGTAACACTGAGAGCCCCCTTGCAGCGCCTACACCCCGGGGCTTACAGTGCAGCCACGGTACTGGAGCATGGTTATTGTGGCACACGTGTAAAGAACAAGTTTTAAAAAAAATCTTTACACCAAAAAAGAACAAGTTATGAAATAAGTATTGAACCCAGATCTTGAAATTTGAAAGGAAAAGAAAAAAAAAGAAGCTTCAGCTTGTATTTTTGAGAACTTTGTTGGGAGTCATTCACAATCATTCCTATACAGAGACGCTACTGGTTTTCAATGGCCCGTAGTACTATTCAGACTAGTTAAAGAGGTGACTTGCAGGTAAGCCCAAGAAAAGAGGAACTGTTTATTATGAGCATAAAATGGCTACTCTGGCTCGTAAAGTCTTCTGCTGAACCGATAATTAAAGCACAAGTGCTTTCTGCAGAGCTGCATCTCAGTTGACAAAGCGCCACTGCATTACCCGCAGAAATTCAGGAGCCTGGCTTCTGAATAAAGGCTGAAGGAGAGCTTGGGCGTCATTATAGAGGTTGCACATAACAACTCTTCTTCATAAGAAGAAATTTAAAAGCTGAGCTATTCAGAGGCAGAAAACAGAAAAAAAAAAAGTATATCCCAAACTAACTGCCTTTTAAAATGAAAATCTAAACAGACTGAGTTTAGCACGTCCAGGCTGCCTTCGATCCAATACGCAACTGGCTCGGTATCAAAAGGACGTGTGTACACAAAACCCAAGGATAACGCCCTGCCCTAAGGATCTTATTTCTTACAAGGAAAACACTGCAACTGGAACTGCCAAAGGCAGCCTCACTCTTGCTTGCAGCAGCAGCTCAGCCATGGACCCTTGAGCGGATGATTTGTTTGCAATGTTTAAAATTGTGCTCTCGGCCCGGCCGACAAGGTAAACGCGCGTAGCCACTTCAAAGCCAAGTGCAACTTATGAGGAAAACACGCATGACACAGGCAAACGCTCGGTAGCAGCTGAGCCAGATGAAGCTGCTGGGAGAGTGTTTTTTCATCATTTGACATCATACGAGTTCTGTGGCTGACATCCAAGCTGAAGGAGGGCAGCGGCTGAAGGAAGAGAAGTGCTCCCGTATCAAATGACAAACAGGACCCCAGATGCGCTAAGATTTTAAGGAGGGATTGTGCATGGTGAGTACTGATACAAAGGCTCAGTTTGCTTACACAACATCCACAGAGCATCCATGTTCACTTGGCAGAAACAAAGAGTATTAAAAACACATTTTGTCAGGAGTATCACAGATAAGAGTAACAGTCTCACTGTGCTTCATACAGGCTTACAAAGCAAAACAGACATAAAGTCAATTGCAAATAGTTGAACAACATGATCAAGTGACCAGTCACACAAGACAAAAAGGGAGCGGATCGCACAAACGTAAAACTTATCTCAGACAGAACTAACAACTTCTTCGAAAGAAACTAAGCATTAAAACAAAGTGTCTCTTGTCTGCTGCTGAGAGGTATTTTTTGCTGTTGCCACCACACTTGCAGCACTGCCACAGTTACCAAAGGTTCCCCCTACCTAAACTAACATTAACAATACCTGGAAGACCCTGCTGCTCTCATTTAGAGAGAAAGAACTCCAAGTCTTCACTTATGTGTTGGGATCAGTGTAAGCACCCAGGGAAAATGGACAATCTCAGAAGCTCTAGGGAATCAAGCAGGAAATACATATTTAAATTGACAAGGTAAAAAATAATAATTTCTACAGGGGAAGAGGAATCTACTGATCATAACGACTTGGTATCAATAATAAAGGAAGAAAGGTAGAGAGAACAACTTGTCAAGAGAAGGGTAAAGAGTAAAGGAATTATTCTAGGGGTCAATTCACACTACCTGCTGCTTATCAAGAACTTTTTGGAGTTTAATGCTCCAAAGAAGTTGTCACAAAAAAGACATTTATCCAAGTGCTCATGAGCTTTTTCATACTGTCATCCCGCTATTGTTCATCTGCTCACCTATTCCGAATTTATTACTTGCTAATTTTAAATGCACTTTCTGCGCATGCCACTTCTCAGTTAAGATGGTAAGTGCTGAGTTAACCACTAGGAGAGGCAGGTTAGAGGCTGCAGCCCCTCCATTCACCTCTCCACGCAGCTCTTCACCATCCCCTCCCCAGAAACAGGAACCAGCAGTCACGTAAAGCTGCTGGGGAATTTCAATCTAAATTAGACGTACTATTATAAAGAAGGATCGTAAGTGGAAGACAGGGAAGAGATGTCAAGAGATTGAAGAAATCAAGACAGAGACTGTTGTCATACCTGCATCACACTGAAAAACCCATCAAACCTATCAATAACAAAGCCACATACTGGGACGGAGGACACTGCCTTGGCTGATCCTTGGCTGCGTAAGGTCTGAAGACTCAGAGCAGTCAAACAGGGTAGCGCATACCAGTGCGGGTGCTGCAGGCAGCTTGGGAAGCTCAAAGTTCTCAGCATGGGGAAAAGAATCAAACTAAACCAACACGGCATTCATGAAATAATAAAAGGAAATAAATATATGAGCAGCTGTGCTTAAGAGACAGGTTAAGAGACCAGCATTGCACTCTTGAATACCTCTGTGAAAGGCGCCTTAAAACTGTCAAGCTGGGAGATCAGACACACCCAGAGTAACTACAAAGCTCTGCTGGGCCTCAGGACAGCCGATATAGTGCAGTGGGGCAGCAAGGGTATTACTTTGGCAGCTCTGTGTCGAGTAGATCTGAAGAACATGATACAAACCCAAAAGATATGAAAAAGAATGTCAGTAACCAGGATGAAAGCCTTGTCAACACACAAAGAAAAAAAAAATCAGGATAGAAAGCAGCCATTTGGGAGAGATCATAAAAATAATATATTTATAGAAAACTTCAAAAGATTTTACTTCTTTGTAACAGGGAAACTCAAGCAGGTAAGGATTCAAAAGGCATGGGAAAAAGACTACAGCATTCTTGCAATACTATGTTGTTTGTTTAACGCTCTGCATTGTTCATTAAACAATAACCAAATAGATCATTCCACTGAGCCTGAATTGCAAAATCAATCCAAGCTAGACTCAAACACGGATATTGTGTTTCTCATCTAGGAAAACTGACTGTTGTTGTACACAGTGTTCAATACACTGCTTTTCATTAAAGGAATTAAAAAATAATAATAATCTGATGCACTGTCGTGAAGACAAAGATAAATATGAGTGTTTCTGGCTGTTCTCAGGAAAACCTTTGGTAACTGAAATACTTTAGAAATAAACAAAAAGGAAGTTTAAGAACTTGCTCTGATATTAACTATTACAAAAAAACTTGTTATAATTCATATTTTAGATAGGGAACATTATGCTCTCCAAAATACTATTAAAACCAACTCTTTAGTCACCAAAATGTATTTAAAATTATGACACACATATAGAGCCCAAGGTGTTCACGATGCGACCCCCAATGTTGTTATTCATGTGCATAATGTCATACTTGGTGAAGAGTTTCACTGAATTAGGAGACTACTCACCACTAGTAGGTATCTAAGTCATTCACTACTAGTTGAGGCACTTAAATTGTGCTACACTATACACAGGACAAATATTTAACATAAAAAATCTGGTTTCAAGTTGTCCCTGATGTAAAGGGATATATTGATTTTGAAGAGCAAATGACACTTTTGTGGCCTACAGTTGGAGAGTAGTAATTTAATTCTGATATATCACCGAGCCATTGCCCTCTCTGTAGAGAAGGCTTCATGCCCAACTCACATCTGGTGACACACTTGTCAGAAGAAACCTGAATTCTCAAATAAACAAAACTCAATTCAGTATGACAGCAGAAGCTTCACCTACGTATTTTGTTCTGATTTATGCATGCATCATCACAAACCCCAAAGGAATTGCAGTATTTGACCCAGCTCTGATACATTTAATAGCAACTCCTCTGTTTTACAGACTCTTTGGCTTATGGGCTTTTCAGAATGCCTCAAACCCACGCTGCAGTTTTTAAGGCAAATCCTTCTCTTTAAAGCAGCTATTCTGCTGCAGTAAAACCGCCAACTTTCTAGCAGTGGATAGCAGAACTCGAAATGGAAACATCTGGTGTCGCTTACAGACATGTATTGAAAGAACAGATACTGGATTTCCCTGGGAAAAGTAATGGTTGCCCTTCTTCATCCGCACAGAGGGATGCTCGTCAGGGCTCCATACGAGCCCGTCACAGGGATGCTGCGGCCGGGGGTGACAGCGAAGCCTCAGGGGTCGGCGTGGTGGTGCCCACGGTGACCTCCGGGCTGAGGTTTGAGTGGGGGGGGGTGTGGGTAGGGGGGTGGGGGGTGTCCCTGTGCGGTACCTGAGCAGAAGCTGTTACTGCTGACGGTCCTGCCGGAGCCCCCGGAGGAACCGGGCGGCTTGAATTCCCGGCTCTCCTCTTCCGAAAAGGGCGACTCGGAAGCGGGGGATACCTTCTGCTGCGGCCGGAGGATCAGGCGGGGGATGCGGCTGCGGGACACCTCCTTCTCCAGCTGCGTCTTCTGCTCCTGCTCGGGAAGGGACACCCCGGCGTCAGGGACCCCTCGGATGCGCCCTCCTTCTTCCACCATCCCAGCAGGGACAGGCAAACCCCGGCCACCCCCCCCCCCCACACACACCCCACCCCCCCGAGGGGGTTGGCGTGGGGTGGGGGGGTGGCCGGGGTTTGCCTGTCCCTGCCTTTCCTCCGTCCTCGCGGCCACCCCCGCCGCCCCTTCCCTCCCCGGCCCCTCACCTTGCTGCTCTCCCGCAGAGGCCCCATCTCTCCTCAATCCCCGCGCAGCCGGCGACAGGCACCTGGCATGGGCGAGAGGGATGCGCTAAACCCGGGCTGCTCCCGCCGCTGCTGCCGCTGCGGCGCTGGGTGGGGGGGGGGGGGGTGGCGGAGCCCGGCCCGGCCCCGCCGCTCCCCGCCCCGACACGTGGTGCCGCCGCGCCCGGGGCCGCCGCTGCCTCCCGCCCCGGGGGGCGCCGGGCAGGTGAGGGGACGGAGGCGCATCCCCCCCCCCCCCCCCCCCCCGTCCCACTGCCCGGCTTGGCATCCCCTCCCCTGCCCAGCTCGGCATTCCCCCTCTCCATCCCCCTCCTGCCCATCTCAGCATCCCCCCCCCGCCCAACTCAGCAGCAACCCCACCGTCCCCACCCCCCCCCCCCCCCCCCAAGCCCAGCTCGGCCTCGGCGACCCCCGGGGGGGCAGCCGCATCGCCTCGGCACTGCTGGCAGTGGGCTGCCCGGGGGGGAGGCAGCTCCTTGCCCCGGGTCGCAAAAGGCTGCGCGGAGCGTAAACATATTAAAACAGAGGCAGGCTGAGCGCAGGCTGGGGGTGTGCGGTGTTACAGATTTCACGCTGAGGCACCAAACCAGATACGTAACAGAGAGCAGATGTTACCGGTACAAATATGATGGATGTATGGCTATATAAATAGCACAATGCGTCAGATGTCCTCTGCTCCTTATTATTCAATGACAGCTTTTTATAGAACATGTGGAGACGTAAAAGCTTACCTGATTCTCAGACAATACATTGCACAGTATATTTGATTATTGTATTGTCTCTCTTACCTTCCATTGTGATAATTGTTGTTGACCCTCCTATTGATTAATGCACATGTGTTAACCTTGTTCATCTGCTCCCCAGAGCAGGTCTACTTAAAAGACATGCATTTATTAGCAAGACCATGTTCTGGCCTGTATGCATATCCATACAATGGGTGAAAAGGACTTATTTTCCACAAAAACAATGATTAAATTCTTGATATGGAGTTCATTGAGGTTCCATATAGATGTCTGCTTGTACAACTTAATGAGCTCGCAGAAACTGTACTTTCAGCAATAGTATTTTTGGGCAAAGATTTCCTTTGCATGTATGATTCCTGCAAAGGGTCCAATTCCTGTTGGGAACTTCTGTTTGCTATTAGGGCGTGAATGTTAAATGCCGTCGCAAATATAATTAAGAGCAAACGTGTATTTTATGTGCAGGGCAGAGAACAAGCCATCAGTGATAGGAAAGGTGATGCGTTCATCTAGTCCTCGAAGAGGAAAGAGGACACTGGTGAGTACTAATGCACTGATTGTTGCATACAAAAAGAGTTATAATTACTAATTTATTAACCTGGCATCAGGATTAGATTCATTACTTATGTAGAGCTTCAAGCTATGCTCTGCCAAAAAGATGATACCATCCTCCTCTGGAAGCGTCGAGACATCTGTAATTCAGAGAAATGAGGTAGTTGCAGCTGAAAAAAACACTTAAAATGTCTGTATTAAAAATTCTGTGTACTTATAAAATATCTTCTAAGCGCTGAAATATACCTTCCTCAGGCACAAAAGAGAAGGAAGAATCCTGGACCTTTCCCTACCACTCCAAGACTGTTTCCATGGAAAATAGAAAATTGCAAATCACATATTTTAATCACACAAATTTGCTCTTCCCTTCTGTAGAGACCAGGGCACCTGAGACCATGGGCTCCTCCTGCAAGCCACACGTGGTATGTGTGGGGTGGAAATTTCCCATGTACATTTACAAAGCTGTTGTACTGGTAGAAAGAGTAAGAAGAAGCTGTGCAGCAGCACTGCCATTGCCATAGTAACTCAGCTCGAGAGGAGTTGATGATGATTCAGTTATTGGAGCCTGCTTTATCTTTTTCCATTTCAAGCTCAAATTTTTGCCTTGCTAAGAAACAAGATCTGAAAAGTAAAGTCTTCAAGCTGCCTCAGAATTCATAATGGGATGTGATTCCCTTTGATCTCCTCTCCTCTTTGCACAGATATTTATAGTCTTGTCATAAATCATAAAACAATCATTAATTTTCAAGCAAACATTTTTTTTTTCTGTTACAGTCCATGTATATCTAATAAATATTGAAGGATTAAGTCATTTTTCAGCTTATTAAAATATTTTCACTGTGCACTAGTTAATCATCAGTACCAGGACTTCACATGATTATGTGATATCACTCTTATTCTCCTCTTGATGTCTTTTACAAACCAACAGTATTGCTGTATAAAACTAATTTTCATAACCAGTATGTAACTCTGACCAAACCTGTATTTGTGGTGGAAAGGAAAAACATCATACATTCCTAAAAGCCTCAGAAAACCTACAGAACACAGTATCTTAGGCTTTTCCTTGCTCTACTCTGTTCTGAAAAATAGCAGCTCTCCAGGAAGCGGTGGAGGGCTGCAGATTCAGCAGAAGCGCCTGGACTCCAGGAGCTGCCAGGGAAAGCCAGGCGCTGAGCCAGGCCCTTGGGTTAGACCTTATGCTTTCCTGAAAGGGGAGCAAGGTACATGAAGCAGTTTTTATTCCAGACTTTGCTACTAAGATCTTCACTCAGATGGAATGCCCTTCCAGAAAAAATTGCAAGGGGGAGAGGAGGGGGTGAATTACAGTGGACCATAGAGTACGTTTTCCGCAGAGTTTTGCTAGCCAGGCAGTAAGCTGTGTCCTTTAGCACAGGCACGAGGAACAACTCGGTATATTCCTGCTTCCACATTGGAACTGCTAGGAGAACAACTTCACCTGATGTTTTTGCAAAGCTTTTTGTGCAGTTTGTTTTTATAGGTTTATTTGTCCCATCTGATGGTACATTGTTTCTAGCCACCTGCAGATGCTGTTTTCCAGCTTGCTTTCTTGTGTGGAGTATTTTTGCTCATGATCTGCCAGAGTAACAGCAGTAGCACAGTCCAGCAATGGTCTCAGGATCCTGATTAAGCACCCAAATACCTTTGTTTGGAATTGGGCACTTCAGAAGAACAAGCAAGAAAATACTGTACCCCGGGGGAGAATGGCTTACAGCTCACTGGGAAATGCAAGAGTAGCTTTGCACCCTTCAGCGCAAGAGGTTTATTTATGCTGCCAGCAGAGACCAAGTCTCAAATGAGACCTTCTCCATGGTAGAGCCTTGTATATTGCCTTTCTGATCCCATGAATTTTCCTTCTTTTCTGTGCAGTGGTTCAGCTTCAGCAAGAAGGCTTCCACTCCTAACTCACTTTACTTTTGAGCAGTCCCTCACAGAGTGGAAGCAAGCAGGACTTCTAGGAAGTCAGAGGCTGCAGCTTCTTCAGGTGGCAAAAGGAGTGGAACCTGTACTTTTTTTTTTTTTTTTTTTTTTTCTGTAATAATTAAAAGGCTGAAGAATGATTTCTGCCTTATGTGAATTCTCACTGAACAGTCACCTCATGCACCTTTGCTGTTTTTATGCTGTCATCATTTGGTGATGTTCCGTATACTTGCAAAATTTGACTTTTGTGGGGAAGTGGCATGCTTCTGCACTCAGTTTATCACCTGGAGGATAATGGTCCAAACCAGGCTGGCTTGTTGCTCAGACCAGGACAGCTGCAAGCTTTTATAACACTGAAGGTACCGGTGGACATTTGGGGTGAAAACCACAGAAGCATTTTGTGACCTTATGTTCATTAGGGCTAGGTGGTTTTCTTGCAAAGTTATTCTGAATTGGACAGTTTTGGTGCCTAAATCCATCTAAATTAAATTTCTGGCAGCTGAATTTTTCTTTTGGGTTTGGCACTGGCTTTCACAGGTCAGCGAAATGCAGACAATGCCTTATACTGTTTCAGGACTGTAGGCCAGGTTTTGTTTTTGAATCTCATCTCCTTCTGAGGTCAAAGGAAATGCTGAATGGGGCAGGGGGCAGAGCTGGGCCCTGCAATCCTGGCACTACATGATTTCATTAACACAGGCACGTAGCTGATAATGCTTCTGTCCGTGACCTAGAGAGCAGCTGTACTTTGCCAGCTGAGGCCTATGATGCTTTGACATTTTTTTTGCCACCCAAAACATGAGAATGATGTTGAAATTAGGTTTTCAGAGTTTGGAAATGGATAATTGTTGGGAAGGTTGTGAAAACACACAAAGCTAGGGAAAATGAAGTAAACACTGCAGATTGTCAATATTAAAAATAATTGACTTGGAGATCTTTTTTAAACATCTACTTTGTAACAAAGTGTTTAATATGTAGGTGAGCAAACACAGTGAAAAGCATTGCCAAGTATACGAGAGTGTTCATTTGCAATCATGTGTATCAGTGTATTAGTAGGAATAGGGCAGAGAGAAATGGTGGAGAAATTGGAAACTGGAGAATTAGAAGATTACAAATAAATCTACATTTAAAATGTCAGATGCAAAATGCTTTTGCATAAAGATGAAAAATCAGTATAAAGCACAATCAGATAAACTCAAAAATAGAGGAAAAAAAAGATTAAAGAAATATTCATTTAATATCATATATATGGATTTAATACTTATGAATGCAACTTGTATATTTCTTATTTTTGATGAGTGGTGGAAAATGAACATTTTTTCTGATTTAGAAACCAGGTGTACAATAGAACTAAAATCCAAGTGCAAAGGCCTGCACCTGGGTCAGGGCAATTACCAGTATCAATACAGACCAGAGGATGGATGAATGGATTGAGAACAGCCCTGTGGAGAAAGACTTGGGCATACTGGAAAATGAAAAACTGGACATGACCCAGCAATGTGCTCTTGCAGCCCAGAAAGCCAACCATATCCTGGGCTGCATCAAGGAGAAATGTGGCCACCAGGTCGAGGGAGGGGATTCCCCCCCTCTGCTTCTCTCTGGTGAGAACCCCCTTCAGTGCTGCGTCCAGCTCTGGGGTCCCCAGCACAGGAAAGACATGGACCTGCTCGAGCAGGACCAGGGGAGGCCATGAAGATGATCGGGGGCTGGAGCACCTCCCCTGTGAGGACAGGCTGAGAGAGTTGGGGGTGTTCAGCCTGGAGAGGGAGACCTTATTGGAGCCTTTCAATATGTAGAGGGGGCTAATAAGAAAAATGGAGAGAGACTTTTTACCAAGGCCTGTAATGACAGGACAAGGGGCACAGT